CTAAAAGGTAATAACCCTTGCTGTGTACAAATAGGTCAACATATCGAAGAATGTTTAGACCTTAGAACACAAGTTGATTCATATATTGTCTTGTATGTAGGATACTTTCGTTGTACCTACGTTTTTGTCTGTATGTCTACATGTAGTTTAAGACCTTACAAAAGTGGCTGTAGTACTTTTGATGTGTCGATAAAGTGCTCTCTCTCTCTCTCTCTCTGTTTCTCTCTATTCTTTGTAGAAGCCATATGGAATTAATGTATGGTACATGTAACTTAAGAAGCTGGTGTAGACACTAAAGGATATCATCTTCACCCTTGTAGTACCCACTGTAAGGCCACTCTAATTTGATTTGCTGGTTCTAGGATAAAAAAATTAATACTAGAAGAGTTTGAGGGGACGTCTGAATCTTGGTAAGTTGGTACAGTTTTAGATAGTGGATATAGTCAGGCTAAAGTCTTCCTACTATCCATTTTCATGAAGAACTTTATTGCATGACAAGTGTACATGGTACAATGTATGGCAACGACTATTGAGTACAAAAAAAGAAAAGGGTACAGAATGAAAGTTAAAATCTTAAGTACTGAACATCGAGAGCTAATACAGTGTACGAGGGCTTATCATGGGTTTCGGCATGTTTTTCTAACGTTGTTCTATTCGACGTAGACTTTTACTTTGAAAAGTCTGATAACCAATGAAATGAGATGGAGTGGCCTAAAGTGATGGAAGTAAGGCCTGATCACCGCCCGACACATGGACACAAATGAGAAAACCGGAGTTAATGAAAAGAATAATTAATTTGCCGACGGAGGCTCTCCGTGTCTGACCGAGTCTCATCGCGGATTTACTTCTGAGAACTTCGCCGACTCAAACCTGGGTCACGCCTGCTACAATTAGTCCAGGCCACACCGACTGAATCTTATGGATGACATCCTCTGAAGACCCCAAACTAGTGCACGCGGGCGAATAAAAAAAATTCCGACCAAAAATAAGAATGCTACTAAACCACAGGAATACAAAGCTGGTATTGTGAATTTTCGGCAGTACATAGCGACGTATTCGACAAGCCGGCACATGCTGGCTTTTTGCGGAATTCATGAATCGGCACTGTACGTATGTACTGCGTTCTTGAGGCGTGGAGCTTCAGCAGCCTGGGTGCCATCCTCCAGAGTTATCACCGGCTCCATATTGTCACTAATTAACATGGACTACCCAGGCCTAGAGCCAGACCAGAGCCTCGGAGGACGTAATCTTTTTTTTTTTTTGAGAACAGGCGAAAATCAATGCGCGCGTAGATGTCATCCATAAAATTAAGACGGTGTGGCCTTAATCCACGGAAACACTCGAGATTTCCCCCACTTAAGGTTTTCAAAGTAAACTTCTAAACTCTAGAACAGGTCAAGATTAAAAGCATTAGACCTGTAAGTCGGGCTTGGAAGAGAAGAAGATTTTTAGGAGTTGAAGAATTCGAAGTCCTGAAAATCTGGGTCATGGCTGAAGAATTAGTGTGAGTTTCACTGAAATCAAAACATTTGGGATTTTAGAAATTCCGGGGTTTAAAGAGAAGAGTTCCAAACTTTATACAGAGCGCAGGCTGAGTCAGGTACATGTAGAAGTTTGGACAATGCTTCAAAGAAGTTGCCGCCAAAATGTAGGTCATATCCGAAAGAATTAGTGTACGTTTCACAGAAATCTAAATATTTGGAATTTCGGAAGTACTGACGTTCCAAAGTACACGCAAACAATTATTGATTAGCCAAGACTGTCGTACTGAAAAGTCACATTGGTCGTAAGATTGTCGCACGAATTTTATGCCGTATATAGAATTTTAAAGCGGACTGTGTCAAAACCAACCGCCGAAAATTATGTATTAGAAAGGAAGCCCCTTTCCGTAATAAGACAGCTGAATTTTGCACGATTGTTTCAAGCATGTCTTCACGGTGTCCTTATTTTTATAATTGAAACTTTGACTAAATAGGATGTACCATTGTCGAAGTACATAGACTTTTAAAACTTTAGACTTTTAAAGCGTTAGAATCAAGGACGTTGTTGTTAGAATGTGCACTTCAGTGCTCAATATCCCATGTTTCATATCCTTTAGACCACATGCATTGTACATGTAGGGTCAAGCGCATTTAGACCATTTGGGCAGGGATATGAACTAACGATTATTACAAGAAATGCAATGATGGGAATACAAGAAATGAAACCAGGAAAGCAACTCGGGCGCGGGATATTCAGTACCTGGCGTAACCAATCAATTATCGCCCAACAGGTGGGGTGACTAATGAGATTAACTCGGCCATTTAACGATGATTGCTGCAGATTAGCGGCCCGGGGGAGGCTCTGCGCCCATTTTCCGGCGGGTTGACACACAAACCGAGGAGACGCAGAGTTTCCCCGGTCCTGATATCCATTACACAGTAACCGCCGCAAACAAGCAAGGGGCAAGGGGGCTACAACAATTCAGTTCCCTGTTTCCTAGACATTTTAACTAGGAAAATACACACACACACACACTCACACAGATACACACACACAGAGGCACACACACACACAGAGGCACACACACACACAAAGGCACACACACACAAAGGCACGCATACAGTCGCACACACACACACACACAGATGCACGCACACACACACACACACACACACACACAGGCACATACACATACACATACACGCACACACACACACACAGAGGCACGCACACACACACACACACACAGAGGCACGCACACACACACACACACAGGCATGCACAGACACAAACACTCACACACACAAACACCCCCCCACACACACACACTCACACACACAAACACACACACTCCCTGAAACCTTGTGTCAAAATTTCAAACTAAGAATTCACCAAAACGTCAAGATGAGATAAAGTATTTCGACAAAACCTTCCTTCTGACTAAATTTACTCCCTATAACTGTACCAAGACTCTTTATTTTGTCTTTATTAAGTCTTACATCTCAGCTTTATTTTTCCTTAATCCGAGAACTAGGAAATTAAATTGTTCCGGCCTTGGGACCAAATTGGGTCTTAAGAAGGAAAATGTTTGTTTCTGTGATCACCTGGGATGACGGCAAGAACAAAGAGTTTGTTAAAGATGTTTGTAAGTAAAGGAATGAACAACAAAGTCTGAGTACATACCGGTATAAGTTCTTAATCTTAGGTTAAGACACTTAATCTTGTAAAGCGAAGATGTTGTACAAAAATGTTAAGAGAAAAAAATACCACAATCGTTTTTTTTCCAATTTGATAGAAACATTTTTACTAGACATACACAGGAGTGACTGTATACATGATTATGCCATACAACTTTTTCTACCATGATATCAAACATTAGGATCATAGTAAATACAATACTTGTTAATGGCTATCAAATTTCTATCAAAATACACAGCAATGTAGCAAAATGCTTTATTTTACAAAGCCTTTACATTCACTTATAGATCTGACACAATTGTTTTTGTCTGTATGCCATTGTAAACCTGGAGATGTCAAAAAAGAAAAACATACAAAAAACAAACACAATGGACAGATGTACATTTCTCAAGATCTGCATATGGACGTGTTTGTTGTGTTTCTATTATGACGTTATGACGTTATAATGACGTGTTAATGATTTTATAAGGTTGAGTTCAAAACAACAGTTTTATAAGGTTGCTTTCAAAACAACTTTGCAGACTATATATTGGTCAGCATACAAATGTGCATGGCTTGTACACGAAATAGTCCAGTGGATTCATTCCTCAAGCTAACAAGATAGTGTGCGAGATGTCAGTTAGCTTGAGCAATGACTCCACTCTACTATATACAAACATATGTATGTACATACAGCTGAAATGTTCTATTGATATGATAGCTATCAAATACTGTAAAACAATGGCAAAAACACACAACCATTTTGTGGTTATCATTATTCAAACATTCATGTATTTCACAAAAAAAGTTGTCAACTTTGTAAGTGCTCTTTATAACACCTGCAATATGCAGGTGCTCCTATATACTAGTAGCTAGCCACAAAAATTCCAGGTCCTAATCTTTCTGATACCCTTCTTCCACAGGTAAACTCGTAAAAAACACAAATGTTCTTGGACTATTGATATGATAGCTATCAAATGCTGTAAAACAATGGCAAAACTACCTTTCCATATTGTGAATCTCATTTATTCAACATTTGATACAGTAAGGCATTTCACAGAAAAGTTTTCTACAACTTTATAAGCACTCTTTATAACATCAGTCTGCAATATACAGCTGCTCGAAACCACAAAAATTCTCGGTCCTAATCTTTCTGATACCCTTCTTCCACAGGTAAACTCGTAAAGAAACACACCTGGCACAAGCAACTCGTAAATTCTACTTGTAAGTCAAGCTCGACAAACGTTAAATGACACGTTGTACGGGTGCCGATCGTAAAGTGACACGGCAGCGTCCCTGTCCTATTGTGTGAGGAAAGTAAACGCTTAATTAAAGTTCATTAAAGTTGTGTCTGGAGCGGCAGGGAGGAAGGGCCTCAGGGGGCGGAATAGGGTGTGATTAGGGAGGGTAATGCCTGGGGGGAGTGAGGGGAGGTTCAGTAATGATTGGGGATGAGTACTGCCTGTGGGGGGGGGGCGCTAGGGGAGGTTCAGTAATGATTGGGGATGGGTGCCATCGGGGAGGTTCAGTACTGATTAGGGAGGGGTGCTGCATGGGGGAGGTTCAGTACTGATTAGGGAGGATACTGCCTGGGGGAGGGGGCAAGGGGAGGTTCAGTAATGATTAGGAAGGGGATTGCTTGGGGGTTGGGTAGTGGTAGGGGAGGTTCAGCAATGATAGAGATGTGGTCGCCTTATATAGGTTTGACTCTACATATTGTATGTTCATTAACATACAAACTACAGCTTCCTCAGACAAAATGAAGCATACTTTCTTTCCTGGCATATTTTGTGTACATGACAATGTAATATAAAAGCTAAATGTTTTTACCACAGATTCTTTTGAATACATTGTACATTATGACTGTCCATTTGGCATATTTTTTGTGTTGGAAAAAAAGGCTTAGATATCTACAGCATTAACTACAAACACTGGTAAACTTTGATTTTGAGAAAAAACTCTCACACTTTCATCCCTCAGTCTTCCCTCTATCTGACTCGCCCGATGTACTGCTGCTGCCTGCTGTTGTTGTTTTTGACGTTTTGGTTTCCGTGGTTTCCCCTTTCTTGATGTCGGCCCCCTGGTCCAGAAACTCCTCCCACTTCTTCAGCCTCTCTTCCCGCTCTCTGTCGGTTTCCTGGATCTGTGGTGGGGAGGGGGGCACAAGGTCAAATGGGGGGAGGGGGGCACAGGGTCACCTCTAAATGGTGGTCAAACATTACCTGTGCAATTGCAGCCTTTTATTGTGCAGAATTTTTATAATTGGGTTTCAATCACATAAGAATCAATCAATAATCACATAATACATATAACATATTTGCTCCACACTTTTAGTGAAACTGTCACAAGGGTCTGTGCGGCTGCCATTCGGCACCACAAGGTGACCTCAGTACGACTTTCCCCAACCGAAGTTAGGTACCCATTCACACCTAGGTGGAGTGAGGAAAGTCGTGTAAAGTGCCTTTCCCAAGGGCACAACGTCGGGGCGCATGTTCAGACATGTCCCGGGTACAACTTGGGATCGAACCCGGGTCTCACCGTTTCACAGTCGAACGCTCTACCATTATGCCACCTGATGCCACTAATACATGTACTTTCCTGAATAAAATAATTGTATTTTGCTATCTATATTCACACTGTAGCTTATTTTTCAGACTTATTAGTTGAAATCTACATTGACTCATGACCCATGCCCTCTGACCCTCACCTGGTAGTCCGTGACCCCATCCCATAAGGCCACGTTGAGCTGGCGACCTCCGAACCACCTGTTGTTGAGCGCGGCGAGGGCAGCGTCCGCCATCTCAGCTTCCTTAAACGCCACGGAAGCAACACCGTCAGGATGCCTCTGCAATGGGACACAAATGTGTTTAGTAATGATTTAGTACTTCTTCATTTGATAAATGCTAATCCTATCATGAAAGTTCATCTATGTTGGTAGAAGTCGTTAAGCAATTTAAACTATAATTTCCAACACAAAATTTGGGTAAGTCTAATTTTTGTGTTGGAAATTACAGTTTAAACTGATTCAAAATGCTAATCCTAATAACATTGAGGGCTTCAAGCATGATGCAAAAAAAAATGAATACAGGATTGTAAGGTTAGATCCACTTGACTCACACTAGGATGTACAGGGATGTCACTAACCAAAGCTAGGTACTTATTTTCACCTGACAAAAGTTTTTTAAACTGTTGTTAAGAACCTTTCCAATTGTACAACATGCAGTAACATCCTTAAGAGATTCAGAAAAAAGTTGTACTCACGTCGAAGATGAGAACTTTCTTGACGATGCCAAATTTCTCACACTCGCTCTTCAGGTCATCACTGATCTCATTCAGCACCAGAGGGTCCTCCTAAAACACAAGGTAAGAGTTCATAGTCAAATTCTTAGTCAAATCTGACTGAAAGTAACATCCAAAACACAAAGAAGAACAAAATGAAGGTTTGAATTAAAAATAATTTCTGGAGATCCCACTGTTTCTGTTATATTTGTTAACTTTTTAACTTGTTTATTATTGCTTCTATGTTACATGTAATGTATGTATTTGGTGTGCATGCTGTCAGCATACTCACTGCCTAGTGGTCACCTTGTATTGTTGTCACAATTTTGAATAAATAAATAAATGCTGCAAAACTATAAATACTGTACACGAGTTCCAATCATACTATACATAGACATAAAAAGGTTTAAAAGATTTGAGAGATTACAATCTTTATTTCACCAACATTATTTGCGAACATCTAACAACCAGGTCCTCAGTGCTGACAGAATCAAAGGCCATAGCCTCTCATAGGTCATGTTTGTATGAATCCAATGACCTTGGTTTACCTGACTGTCCTTTTGACCTTGAGTTGCACAAGGTCATGAGAAGGAAACTCTTTGTGTCATCCTTATTATCAGGCAACACCTGTGCTGAATACATGCGTGGAACACAGCAAATACAGCTTTGTGTGCGTGTTTGGGAGTGCGACTGGATAGGAAACTTTACCCCATGTAGGATGCAGACAGTTTTGTGTCCTGTTCTTTTGTGCGAAGAAGAGTGGAATCTTGGGTCGAGTCCCTTCTTGTGTGTATATTGTGTACGCAACATGTTCATCCTATTTTAAAGCTCTAATTTGCTTCCACAGGTGTGAGAGACAAAAGGTTATGAGCGTGACACTTACGAAAGACGTTCAATAAGTTCTCAGCCTTATCCAGAAACATGAGGCACAACTTAAATACTTAGTACCTGGGCACAGTTAAATGTAAAATCTTATCGAATATTCACAAAAACCCAAATGAATGCAGTCATTACTTTTGAAAATTAAGTATGTGTTTAGTGGTTGGAAAAATGCAGATAAGGTAATATATAGATGCTAGGATTAGAGTTGTGTCAGTCCCCATGTTCGATGCACACCGTTTTGTGTTCAGTTCTTTTGTGCGAAGAAGAAAGGAATTTCGGGTCGAGTCCCTTCTTGTGTGTATATTGTGTATGCAACATGTTCATCCTATTTTAAAGCTCTAATTTGCTTCCACAGGTGTGAGAGACAAAAGGTTATGAGCGAGACACTTGAAGGGCATTTAATACGTTCTCAGCCTTATCCAGAAACATGAGGCACAACTTAAAGTAAAGATTTTAAATGTAAATTCCTAATATCGAATATTCAGAAAAAAAAACAAATGAATGAAGTCATTACTTTTTAAAAATTAGGTACAAATGTAGGTGTGGAAAAACTGGAAAAATGCAGATAAGGTATAATGCTAGGATCAGAGTTCCGTCAGTCCTCATGTTCGATGCACAACTTAAATACTTACTAACTACTTAACTCAGTTATTTGAAGGCATGATGTTTCTTGTTCTTTTCTGGGCTGGTATCAGATACTTAGTATAGTGCTTGGCAGTTCTTGACAGATACTAAGACTAGTGGTTGGCAGTTTTTGACAAGTAGGCAGAAAAGACATGTTCTAGACAAAAGAAGTTTGCGGCTGGCGTCCTGCCGCCCTTTGTGCTCTAATCTCCCGGCTATCTCCCACCCCGAGGCCGGTAGACCGACCCCGGGTCGCGCGGTGTGGCCTGGAGACCCACTAAGCCCGTCTGAGCCCTGATGGACTGCAGATTGAGCAGGGTAATAGCTGGGAAAACTTTACAAGTCAAGTCAAATCAAGTGGTCAAATCAAACACAACTATATGTACGAATGTATAGCAGACAAACTAAGTAATTATGTTTCCGAATGTTTCAAAAAGAGAGAAGAAGGGGCAACTAACAGTAGATGATAGGTAGTTTATAGTATTATTGTAATGTATAGATTCCTAGCACTTTGCATTAGAATATAGCGTACCAGTATGAAATACTCATGTTTTACATACTGGACATCCTCTTGTGCATTTAGCCCATCTGGGCAAGAACATGCAATTAAGATCCATTATCATTATATTCGAAGACTTGCTGAATGAAATTAAAGCAGTTACGAAGCTACTCTTGTAACGATTGAAGTAGGGAGTAGGGGTGGGTAAGTGGGGAAAACACCTCGAAGTTAAAATCACTAATATTGTGTTGTTAACCACAAGGACAGGGAAGTACGACACTTGAAAAGCAGACTGGGCAAATGTGCAATCTGTACCTCGTATGTCATTTACTGTGGAAGGAATACTGCTGGTTTGGAAAAACCTATGGGACTGAAACTAGAATGGCCACCTCCTCACCAAGTTCACGTTCACAATCTCATAGAAACCACCTGGTTCTGATAACCATGGCTTTATGTATGTCAGCAGGCATCAGCCTAACAAAGCCACTCTGCAAGCACAAGCATTTACTTCTAAGACCTGCTATGATCACATGTAGAGATATATACCTATTAAGCAAATGTTAGGTACAGATTAGATACAGGTCCAGACCCGTACCTAAGTTTCGTCTACAAGCTCCTTGCTGTAAGTTTAAATGTCCTATACATGTATAGCCAACTGTCTTTAGTTTAGCAAACTTATTTGTTTTTAAAACAATTAAAAAAATACTTCTATTTCCATATCTTCACACTTATAATTACATCACTTAAAAACATTTTAAAGACTGTTCACAGCTACTTTGTGCCTGAGCAAACAGAGAAAGACATGTGCTATATAAATGTAGTCTCTACCAGACTAACTACGCTGGCTTCATATTAATATAGTAGCAGAATATTTGCCAGTAGAGTTTGGCCGCCTTGGGGTTTGACTGGTTTGACAGTTACCCACAGTCGGACTCCCCTGGCCAATTTTACTCTCCTTTTTGCTGAATTCTGCGATCCGTATTCCCGTAGTAAGGCCTGGTGGAGTCTTAGGTGTCCTTGCAAGACACACAGCCCAAATACCTGAACAACAACAGATCAATAAGAAAGCATCCCAGACATTCGGGCCGAGCATCTGCTGCGATAACCCAACTCTTAAACAGCTGTCACTTCTGAACTCACCGAATGGAGATGTCTCGTTAAGGGACTTAGCACAGGGTAATTAACACCAATTAACGAACATGGAAACTGCCGGGAATTTACAGATTATACCATTTAGTACATTTCATGTGAAACTCAGCACCAAACCTGTGATTTGTGTCTGGAAACTGGTAAAGAGTAATTGATGAGTAAGGAAACTTCAAAAGACCCTCAATCAGTTAAATAAACAGTAATAAATCACAAAAAGAGATGGCACAAAAGACGCATACATGCGTAGTTACTGTATGATGGGGTAGGTAATTTTCCCGAGCAACCTTAGTAAACCCCGTTTCTTCATTTGGGATAGTCCTTACTCTATATTGAGTTGAACTTGTCTCTAGCATTCAGATGTTTTGGACTTAAAGAGAAGAGATGTTACACAAACTTAGTTCAGTGCCTAGAATTGAGCAGTATAAGTGGTTCTTGACCATGCATTAGGCAAATCTCATTTCACAAAATGCTGTAAAAAAATGTGATACTTATAATAAATTTCTTTCAGCATGTATTTGCAGCCACTTTTCCACTACAAGTCTTCAAGTTGGTATTCATTGCTGCTATCGCTTCAACAGTTTCAAGCTGCAAGCCCAAAGATACTGTCAACTTTTAATTTGCTGCAAAATTTATTAGGTGCCGCGAAGTTAAGTGAATTCCCAAGTAGCCTGGCTGACAGCCACTTCCCACAATGCCTCAGGGCAGGAAGAGGGACATTACCCAGCATGCCCGGGGGCAGGAAGTTCTCGCACAAAGAACGACACGGCGCAGAAATGCGACCAGATGACACCAGATATCACCGGTGTCATCATTCACAGGCTCTCCTGTTGTTTGGATTGTCCTTGAAGAGGGCCTGCATGGGGGGGTAATGATTACGAATTACGCAAAATTTTCGCCTCCGATTACGTTTAAGTCTCAGAGCTGATTACGACTTTACAATTTCCGGCTAATGTCGTATTATGAATTACGTTGATTTTTGCGGAGGCTGCCTAAGAATTACCAAGTCTAAAAAGGTCTGATTATGCCTTACGAAAAAGGGCATGCAGGCCCTTCTTGTTTTTTTTAGCCTGAGTGTCATCCTTTTTAGCTTTCGTCCACTCCAAACGATTTACTACCAGATGATCTTTCTGGCTGGTAGCTTGAGTGGACATAAGCTACAAAGGCTGACACTCAGGCTACTGTTTCTTTGCTGCATTATACTTCCTATAATGTATGGATGTGTTGGATGTCTATTTTCACACTATTTTAACAGTGCTGATGTCTATCACACTATTTTTGCAGCCCTGAATGCTGCTGATGTCTATCTGTGACCTCTGGTATGCCAGAAGCCCAATTACCACATTAACAGTCAGCACAGGAATGTTATCACTCGCCTCTCATCCGTTCTCTGTCCCTCAGATTGTCTGTCTCGATTTTTCACTCTTCTCTGACCTGATATCTAACCCAGATCCAGACTTTGTAGTACTAGTAGTTGTTGATCATTTTGGTAAATTAAAGCTGTGCATTTTGCAAAGGGTATGACCCGTATGTTCTGAAAATTCAACCTCTAGCCTAAGCCTTATTTCGAAAAGTAGGGGCGTCAGAACTGTCACCAATTATGAACTACTATCTAATCATATATAGTACTCAGTAATCAGTATAAAGTTATGTTTGTAAATGCATGACTATTTTTCCATGCTGTGTAGCAGCCCAATTACCACATTAACAGTCAGCACAGGAATGTTATCACTCGCCTCTCATCCGTTCTCTGTCCCTCAGATTGTCGGTCTTGATTTTTCACTCCTCTCTGACCCAATATTTAGCCCAGATTTTTGTGCAGTAGTAATTTGTGTTATCATTTATAATTCTGGTAAATTAGAGTTGTGCCATTTGCAAGGTAACACTCTTATGTTCTGAAAATTCAACCTACAACTTATAT